GCCATGGGAAGACACTCTCAGAAGTGAGTGTTGAGACGGGGCCCATCTGAGGACAAGCAGAGGGTGGAGTGCCCTCGGCACGTGTAAAGGAGCTTGGGAACGAAGTGTGGCTGGAGTGGTGAAGGTTAGCAAGGGCCAGGGTTCGTGAGGCAAGGGGGGGGGGGGGCAAAGAGGTGCTGGTGGCCATCCTGGGGAGAAGAGGTGGCCTCGTTGTAAGCCCTAGGGTGCAGCTGGATTGATGTGTTCTCCCCCACTTTCTCTTCTCTCTCTCTTCCCTCTCACCTCCCTCTGTCTCCCTCAGTGTGTGTGTGTGTGTGTGTGTGTGTGTATGTGTGTGTGTGTGTGTGTATGTGTGTGTGTGTGTGTGTATTTGTGTGTGTGTATATGTGTGTGTGTATGTGTGTGTGTGTATGTGTGTGTGTGTATATATGTGTGTGTGTGTATGTGTGTGTGTGTATGTGTGTGTGTGTATGTGTGTGTGTGTATGTGTGTGTGTATTTGTGTGTGTGTATGTGTGTGTGTGTATATGTGTGTGTGTGTATGTGTGTGTGTGTGGTGTGTGTGTGTATGTGTATGTGTGTGTGTGTATTTGTGTGTGTGTATATGTGTGTGTGTGTATGTGTGTGTGTGTGTGTGTATGTGTGTGTGTGTATGTGTGTGTGTATGTGTGTGTGTGTATGTGTGTGTATATGTGTGTGTATGTGTATGTGTATGTGTGTGTGTGTATGTGTGTGTGTGTATGTGTGTGTGTGTGTATGTGTGTGTGTGTGTATGTGTGTGTGTGTGTATGTGTGTGTATGTGTATGTGTGTATGTGTGTGTATATGTGTGTGTATGTGTATGTGTGTATGTGTGTGTATATGTGTGTGTATGTGTATGTGTATGTGTGTGTGTATGTGTGTGTGTGTATGTGTGTGTGTGTATGTGTGTGTGTGTATGTGTGTGTGTATGTGTGTGTGTGTGTGTATGTGTGTGTATGTGTATGTGTGTATGTGTGTGTGTATGTGTGTGTGTATGTGTGTGTGTGTATGTGTGTGTGTGTATGTGTGTGTGTGTGTGTGTATGTGTGTGTGTGTATGTGTGTATGTGTATGTGTGTGTGTGTATGTGTGTGTGTATGTGTGTGTGTGTGTATGTGTGTGTATGTGTATGTGTGTGTGTGTGTATGTGTGTGTGTATGTGTGTGTGTGTGTCTGTGTGTGTGTATGTGTGTGTGTGTATGTGTGTGTGTATGTGTGTGTGTATGTGTGTATATGTGTGTATGTGTGTATGTGTGTGTGTGTGTGTATATGTGTGTGTGTATGTGTGTGTGTGTATGTGTGTGTGTATGTGTGTGTGTGTATGTGTGTGTGTATGTGTCTGTGTGTATGTGTGTGTGTGTGTGTCTGTGTGTGTGTGTATGTGTGTGTGTATGTGTGTGTGTGTGTGTGTCTGTGTGTATGTGTGTGTCTGTGTGTATGTGTGTGTGTATGTGTGTGTGTGTGTGTCTGTGTGTATGTGTGTGTGTGTATGTGTGTGTGTGTGTATGTGTGTGTGTGTGTGTGTGTGTGTGTGTGTGTGTGTGTGCACTTGCCTGTGCACACACGGAAGCCAGCCGTGAACTCCAGTGTCTCCCTCTATCACTCTCCACTTATTTTTTTTTTTCAAATCAAGATAAGTTCCCTCTACATAGCCCTGGCAGGTCTAGAACTCTCTACGTAGGCTGGGCTAGCCTCGAACTCACAACTCACAGAGATCCTCTGCCTTCTGAGTGGTGAGATCCACCTTAATTTTTGACACAGGTTCTCTGTGAACCTAGAGTTGAGTCCACAGATTCAGCCAGGCTGGACAGCCAGCCCGGGAGATGCTCCTGTCAGTCTCCTTAGCATAGAATTGGGGTTACGGGGGTACCACAGTGCTATCCTTTTACATGGGTCTTGGGGATTCGAACTCAGGTCCTTAACCTTGCACAGCAAGCACTTCACTCTCTGAGCCATCTCCCTGCTCCTCCCCCCAATTCCAATTCCTTTCTTTCTTAGGTCTTGGGGAGCCCAGGCTGACCTCAGACTCACTGTGTAGCTGAGGAAGACCTTGGATTCTGATCCTCCTGCCTCCACCTCTTGAATGCTGGGCTCTCAGCTGTACACCACCACACCGGTTTACGTGGTGCTGAGGATGGAACCCAGCCCTGCTTCACCCGTGACAGGCAAACATTCTGCCCACTGAGCTGCATCTCGGCTCTGCTGCCTAGCCACTCCTGGAAGGGACACTACAGCCAGTCACAGCCCCCCGCATCACAGCACTTCAGGTGTCCACCCGCCAGGCCTCTGGTGGACAGTTCAGTGACTTTCAGCCATCCCTGCATCTATCTGCAGAACTTTCTCCTCTCCCCAGACCAGAGTTTTGTCCCCATCAAACACATCCCCTACCCTCTCCCAACTCCTGGCACCTTCATCCCACTTCGTTTCTGTAGATCTGACCTGCTTATGTCACTCAGCATCAAGCCTTCATTCAGAATTTTCTTCCCTTTTTAAGGCAGAGTAATATTCCACAGGCGCCTGGCTGCATTTTGTCTGTTTGGGGATGGAAACTCGGGTTGTGCCCCCTCGGGGCCTCAGTGAGTGATGCTGCTGTGAGTCCAGGTGTGTCAACCTGGGCAGGAGTCCTGCTGTCCTCACTCCTTTGTTTGATACTCCCCGAAAGTCTCGATGATTACTCTGGGTCCAGCTTTGTGTTCTCGGAGCCGCCACCGTGGTCTCCACGACAGCTGCATCATTAAATGTCGACTCCTGACAGGTGTTTGACCTCTCAGGGAAAATCTCCAAGGAGACCTTACTCACGGAGCCTGGGTTCCCTGCAGGATGCAGGAGCAGGCAGTGGGAATGGGGGAGAAGGGCTGTTCTTACCATCACCACCCACCTCACCCCTGCCACTCTTCTTCTGGAGCTCTGACCTACTCCAGTCTCCCCCGACGTGAAAGGAAACACAGCTTCCTCACATGCCCGTGCTACCTGTAGGCTGAGGCCTCTGACTCCCAGGAGTTAGGGTGACTTTGAACCTGGGAGCTGATCTGCCCCGTCTGCATTTGTCAGTATGGGATCTTCTTCCTTTTAGGGTCACCCAAGGCCAGTCAGCCAGGCCTGGAGCAAATGTCACAGCTGCATTGGGGTGTGGTTCAATGGCCTGTGTGGCATGCTCTAGACCCCAGATCCCATCCCTAGCACCCCAAAACACACACACACACACACACACACACACACACACACACGCACGCACCCCACACACAAAATCACAACCAACCAAACAAACAAACAAAAAAGAGAAACAAACAAAATATCACCAACCTGGCTTAAACAGCAGAAATGTATTATGTCACAGGCTGAAGGCCAGAAGTCCAAGGTCATGGAGTGGACGAGGCTAGCTCCTTCTGAGGGTTGAAGGAGCCTCCAGCTACTTAGCTGTGGAAGCTTCACCCTGACTCAGCCCCCAGGTCCAAATATATTCTCACCAGTGGGATGCTCTGAGTGTCTTTGTGTGCCTCCCCATGGGTCTCCTCTGGGTGTGTCCCCCTACCCCATACCACCTATGACCAGATCTCTCCATCAGGACCCTAACGGCTTGGGGTGGTGCCTTCCCTGAGCCTGCATGACTTCCTATAAGCAGCACACATCTAGTACAACCCCTCTTAGAAAAGGCTTTGTTGTGTCAGCCGGGGTCAGGTGGTCAGGATCCGGACTGAGCAGGACATGAATGTACTCTTCTCTCCCTCCTAACCCAGGCCTGGTGTGAAGCCACTGGCCTCTCAAGGGCAGGGGACAGACCCCTGAGAAGATGGTCAGCTGCAGAATAGTAGCTAACAGACACCCCCCCCCCCATCCTCCCACCCCTTCCCAGGGGCTGCTGAAGTGCCTAGCTCATTCTGGGAAAAGTAAGCCCTGTCACCATTGTCACCCTGGATGCCAGTTCAGGGAACAAGTCTGGGGACTGGGGCCTGCTGAGGGGCTGGAGCTGTATCTACCTGTGCTGATGCTGGGGTCAGCTCCATAACAAACTTCTCACAGAGCTGAGGCTGGTGAGAGCCTGGAGCCCTGGAGGTGGGTAGCAAGAACGAAGGGAGGGATGGGACCTCTGCCTGAAGTGCTTCACCTGCTAAAAACAGCCCCCAGAGGGACACATCACTTCTAGGGTAGGATGCTTCCTCTCCATGGCCAACCTGACTGGATTCACAATCACTTAGGAGACACACCTCTGTGCTTGTCTGTGAGGGTTTCCAGAAAGGTTTAACTGAGGGGAGACCCGCTCTGAATGTGGGTGGCACCATCCCATGGGCTGGGGTCCCAGATTGAATACAAAGAGGAGAGAGTGAGCTGAGTACCAGCGTTCCTCTCTCTCTGCCCCTTGACTGTGGATGCCATGTGACCAGCTGCCTTGGGTCCTGTTGCCATGGCTTCCCCCCCCCCCCCCCCCCCCGTGATGGACTGTACCCTCGAACCATGAGCCTAAAGGAGAAAGAGCCAAGCACCTCATCTCTCTCTCTGATGAGCCCCAGCATGCCCCTCTCTGCTTCCTGCTCCATGGAGATGTGAGCAGGCCGCCGCACGCTTCTGCCGCCACAGCCTCGGTCTGCCCTCATCACCACACCTTCCCCTCACATGAGGGATTGTGTTTTTCAGACTGTGAGCCAAAGTAAATCCCTTCTCCTATATGAAGCATCTTGTCTGGTGTTTGGTCACATCAATGAGGAAATTAACACAAGGGAGGGAGGGGATCCTAAAACTGAGCAAACCTCTTTTCTCCTCTCGATCCACACAGACAATACACTCGGAAACACACTTCACACATACACGGAAGCCAGGAAGTCAGAAGTCCAGGGTCAGTGTGTGTGCATGCCTCGTACACACACATCCTCTTGGGAATATAGCAACACTCTTCTATACACACTTGTGGATATTTGCAAACACAAGAACTCATGAACACATGCACATGCATGCATGCAGCACCTCAGCCCTTTCTCTGTACATAGCCTGCAGACCACTGCCTTCCCCACCCTCAGCAGAAGTCTCCGTTGGAGCCTCAAGGTGTCCTCAGCCTGTATCCCAGCTGTTAAATAGCAAGACAGGGTGACACATTCAATGTTTGAAACATAGCCCCTTCCACTGTCCACTGCCTCAGGTTGCCAGGACTGCCTGCCATTGGCTGGGCTCCACCAGGGCTTTGGGTCACCCCTGCAATAAAAGCTCCCTCCCATGTAATCCCACATACATCTTGAACTTCGAGTCCTCCAGGGGCTTTGACTCAAGCCCCTCAGTGGCTGGCACTTGCTCTTTGAAAGTCACTAAGGACAAGCAAGTTCTTGGTCCCCCAAGCAGCCAACCCATGACAAGGGTGGGGAGATCAGGCCTCCAAGAGGATGATCCTGGGTGCCTGTGGGGGTTGACCTCAGAGAGTTCTTAGGGTGACCACTCAGGCCACAGCCAGTTCGCCTGTCTCCCGATGGGTGCCTGGAGTGGCCCTAGGAGACAAGGGTTCCGTCTTGCCATGGTCTCCTGGGCTCTGCTTCTTCTGCCGCCGTTGTCTGGGCTGGCTGCCCTCTCCTGGGGCTCGTGGCTGGCTGCTCTGAAGCAGCCGCACCATCTCATGGTCCTTGTGGCCCAGCACTCGGGGCAGGAAGAGGGAGGACTTCTGTGTGCGGCGGGTCTTGAAGCCCCTGCGTGGCCGACCCTTGCCATTCACAGACACGTACCAAGGTCTCTGGGCACCAGGTTGCCGCCGAGCCCCCGGCCCGCTGGGCCTTGTGCGATACAGGCGGGAGGCATACGTATTGTAGCCCAGCTCATGGATCCGCTCCACGAACTCGCACTCTGCGTTGTAGTGCTCCTGTGGGACAGAGGCCACAGATAACAGCCGTGGAGGCCATGTTGTCAACAGGACCATACCTCCCCAATGCCTCCTACTCTCCTGAGGCTGCCTGGACCAGCTGTCCACACTTGCCAATGTCTATGCAGCCTAGCCAGCTTACCTTTCCCAAGACTATGCCCTGCTCCAAGTGACTTCCCTCCACTAACCCTCCTGAGGACGAAGGGCAGTTTACCCTTTTGCTGTAGCCTCGCACTGGGCTCAGTGCTTGGAGTGTGGTAGATAGAGCATGATGGAGGTGGTTGAATGGGTGTGTTGGTGAGTGGATGGATAGGTGGATGGATGGGTAATAGATGGGTAGATGGATGAGTGTGGGGTGAATAGATGCGTGGGTGGGTGGGGCATTGGTGGGTGGATGAGTGGGTGTGGGGGTGGGTGGGTGGATGGATGGATGGGTGGCTAGATAACTGGTACATAGGTGGATGGATGGATGGACAGATGATGGGTTGAGTGGTTAGGTGGGTGGATGGTAGATGTCTGGTTGGATAGATGGTTGGGTGGGTGGATGGGTGCATAGGTAGAAGGATGGATGAGTGGATAGATAGCTGGCTGAGTGGATGGATGGATAGATGGATAGGTGGATGGGTGGATGGTAGACAATGAACAGACCGGCTGGAGGGCAGAGAAGCTACAGGCCAGTCATCGAATCCCAAGGCTGTTGCAGCTCCAGGTGCGAAGGGACAAGGCCTGTGTGACAAGGTGCTGCTTCTGGGATTAGGCAGCAGGAGGTGAGGTGAGGTGTGTGTTGAAGACAGCAACTCAAGGAGCACACCTGAGGACGTGGAGATGAATTGGATATGGGGCTAAGAGAGGAGGAGGTCCATCATGGCTCCTGGTTGACTCAGCTGAGACCATGAGCAGGAGTGAAGGGTGTGCTGATTTCAGTGTGTGTCGGGGGAAGGATGCTGCATTCTGCCTGCTCCTGTAGCATTGGAAGTTCTGGGCAGCTGTGATCTATGACTTAGGGAGATGGAGACTGATTGTGGGGCTGCCACTGGCCTGTGGATGCAGCACATAGGCAAACACGCTGGGCACTCAGGGAGTCAGGGACAGGCCTGCAGGAGAAGCCTGAAAGAAGCTGGGGCCTTATATCCAGGTCTGTCTGCAAGTTTTTGAGACCATCTCTGATGGGGTCTCTGGAAAGTGCTACTCTAGCCAGCTGGACCCCTGACCTCACCATCCCCTGCTTCCCCGAAGCCAGGAAACCACAGTCATGTCCCCACACCACTATGCTCTTCCCTGTGGGCAGGAAGATACGAACTGTCACTGAGGACACCTGAGACCTCAGCTCATAGCAGAGTTTCTGGGGGAGGGCCAGGTTCATATATAAAGTCAGCTGAGTTCACTCCCACTAGAGTGGGACAGGATGCAGGGTCCAAGAGGTGGGGAAATGCCCAGCCCAGCCTCAGCGGCTGGGACCCGCTGCTGGGCCAAGGGTGTGTGTCCATCACACCTCAGGAGTGTGGAGGCACCTGAGCATCTGCTTCCAGGTGGCCCCAGGGAATGCCCTGTTTCCTCCCCCCAGTGCTGGGATGACCAGACAATACTTTGGCCAGTTTTGATACATGGGTGCTGGGGACCCGCTCAGGTCCTCAGGCTTACAGCCATTTCTCCAGCCCTTCAGTCCCCTCCTAAGTCAGAGAGCTCTTGCCTTCCCAACCTGAGAACAGGCCAAGCACCCGTCCACAGATGCAGGGCAGGATTGCTCTGACCTCCTCTCCCTCAAGTGCCCAGCTATCTTGGGTTATTCACGTGCATGGAGGTCTGGGACCCCGCTGCCATGCTATCCTATCAGTGTGACTCAGAGAAAGAGACTGACTTCAGACAGGTTGGACAGGCATTCAGAAGCCCAGGGATCTGGACCAGCTTGAGTCTGGCATGACCTAGGGCCAAGCATTCTACCGCTCATGTCCCTTCTGGCCCCCAACCAGATGTTCAAGCCAGATGGCTACTCCATCGGCACCTGCCCACTAGTGATGGGACTCACCGAAGCGTACAGCCGTCCTCTCTTGTTCATGGCCAGGTACCGCCCAGAGAAGAGCCCTTTGATGGCCACCACGCCCACTTCCACCGCAGTAATCTCCAGGATGCCTGGAAAGAGTCAGGAAGGGTCCGTCACCTGCCCTGCCTGAGCAGAACCTCAGCCTGTGCTAACACTCACCAGCTAAGGAAGCTGGGACAGGAGGGCAGCCACGACCGACCAGCAGGTCATGGTGGAGGGGTTGGAAGTCCTGGTAGGAAGAAAGCATTGGACAGGAGGTGAAGAAGAGGACATTCAGCCACTGTGCCAAAGACATGAATCCTAACCCCGGAAGACGACACAATGGGGGTGTTCTGCCCCTGTTAGGCACCTTGGGTGCAACAAAGGCAGACAGACTCAGTCTGTATTCGGTGCGTTCTTGTGAATCAGCTGAGGCCGAGGACAAGTGACTTGTCCAAGGCCACACATAATGGTTCGGGGGATCCAAACCCCGGGGCAGATGGAGCTCCAGAAGAGGAGGTGTCTGAGACTCCTGTGGAAGCCAGTGCTTAATGCAGTCCAGCCAGAGTGCTACCTCCACTGGCAGGCAAGGGATTCAAGTACGAGTGCTCAAAGGTAGTCTGGGGCAGAAGCGCCTAGGTGCTGAGGGAAGGTGCCCGGGGCTCACCCAGGCCCAAGAGTAGGTACAAAAATTAACAGTCCCCGAGCCCAGATGGCAGAGTAGCCGCCAAGAATGACCACCTGAGTTCGCTTCCCGGACCCACATGGTGAAAGTAGAGAACCATCTCCAGCAAGTGTCCAACGACCTCCATATGTACATCGTGGCACACAAATAAAATGTGAAACCAACCAAAAAATCCTCCAAGCGCCTTTCCCGTGAACAGGATAGTGCTTTTGGGAGGGGAGGCCAATGTCCGTTGGAATAGTGGGTCGAGGACTCACTCCCTTTCCAGGGAGCGCGTGGCGCCCGCCCGGGACCCAGCATAGTTCAGATAACCAGGACCAGTTGAGGTTCTACCGTAGCCACGGTTTGGAGGGGTGCAGGGTGCGGCTTCTAGATCTGGTGCCAGAAGAGTACCCGCCTGGGTGCTCCCAGGGGCGACTGTGAAAGTGCCCCTCCTCTGCATCTGGGGCCGCCCCGGACCAGGCAATTGGGGAGGGGGTGTGCGTGAGGAGCCCCGCGCTTCAGGCCAGGCAGGGGCTGGTCCCCAGGACGCCCCCGCGAGGCTGCGGCTTTGAAGGAGGAAGCTGCGGTTCCTGCAGCCGCCCGCGCCCCCCGCTCAGCTTCCTGAGCCCCGGGCGCGGTGAGCTCTGCAAGGCCTCCCTCCCACGCGGCGCTCAACGCTCCGGGTCGAGCTCGGCTCACGTGTACCGCACCCACCGAGCCAAACCCTGGAATCGAGACCGGTGCTGGGTTTGGTCTAGCCGAGCGCGGGCCGTGAGTGCATGCCAGCTGCATCCAAAACACGCGGGGACGCCTGTCCTGTCGCGCGCTCGCCTGCAGGGCGCTGGACGAGGGGCAAGCCCCTCGCCGGACGCCGCGTCGCGGAAACCGAGCTCTGCCCAGGGGAGTGTCCTTGGAACATCGTCTAAGAGCAAGAAGGACGGCAGGGACTGGCCATGCTCCCCGGGGTCGTCAAAACAATAAAGAGGGCGATAAATCCTTGTCCAGCGGCTTTTCACTGAGAAATACAAATGTGTCAGAACCGTGGTCGCCTCCCGCGCAGTCCCTGGGGGAGCATGACGGGCGAGGCATGTCGCTGGGATCCGTAGCTGGGACCGAGGCATCGTCTTCGGACCAACCTCAGCTCTGCTCCCACCTGGGACGCCGCGACAGGGGGTCGAGCCCGCCAGTCCCTCCCGCCCACCTCTGGCCGGACACTCACTGTAGGCGCTGTTCTCCAGGCTGCCGTTCACGCGGCCGCTCGGGTGCAGCTGGAGGTGGTACTTGGTGGCGCAGTAGAGCTTGCGGCGCCGGGGCGCCCCGCCGAGGTGCTCGTAGACGCCGCCACGGCCGCCTGCATCGCGCCGCAGCCGCGTCCCGGGCCCCGTCGCGGGCCAGCCGGGTTCCAGCAAGCTGAGCAGCAGAAGCCAGATCAGGCCCATCCCGGCATCGCGCCCGCCGGCGGCGGCGGCTGCGCCAGCGCGGGGCTCACGGAAGGCGCGGCGCTGGGAGCACACGCCCGCGAGCCAGGCTGTGCGGACTGCGGCTGGGAGGGAGAGAGAGGGAGAGGAGGACGGAGAAGAGGTGGGGGACAGGGGAGGGAGGAAGTCAAGGAGGGAGGGGAGACAAGGAGAGATGGGGAGAAAGTGGAGATGCAGAAAGGATCCGGTGGAGAGAGGGAAAGAGGGATGGGGAGAAGGTGCGGAGAAAGAGGAGAGGAAGGTGGAGAGAGAAGCCTTCGAATTTTCACCCAGGAATGGGGGGAGTGTTCCCTTGCCGCACACGGCTCTGAAGAAAGGGCGCTCGGCAACAAAAGGCAGCCGTGGTCCCCGGCAGGGGCGCGGGGCTCAGGCCGGGCGTCGCCTGCTCACAGCGCCCCGGCCAGCGCCGTCGGGCAGCCGTTCCTCCACCGCGCGCCCTGCGCCCCCTCCCGCCTCTGAAAGGTCCCCGCCCCGCCCCCGCCCCCAGACCAATTATGCCTCGGAAAATTATAGAGCGAGGCCTAAAGGCAGCCGCCCCAGGCCCTGTCACCCCCTCCCGCCTTACATCAATCCTGGGTGCACAATGGGACCGCGGATGACTGATGTCTGCGCAAACAACTTGCGGGGAAGTCTAGCTGACAAACGCTCCTGAAGGGCGGCGCCTAATCCAGAGCGATTGCGGAGGGCGGCGCGTGGGGAACCCGGGGTTGGGTCTGTGCAGGTCGCTGCTCTCATATGAGCAGCTCGTCCTCAGCTGCCCAGTCTTGTGGCCCAAGGGCCCAAAGGACTCTTTATGTTGGAGTTTCCTACCTGACCGGAAGGCACTAAGGGAAGTATGCACACCTTGAACAGGAGTGATCTGTCCCAACGGTGGTCCACAGAGGGGACTGGGCAGATTGGAGCTGGGACAATAGAGTCAGAGAGCACTAGAGCCGAGAGTCCTGGAGGCGCAGGCAGAGACAGAAATGGGAGTTGGGGAGGCAGGTGACAAATCCACTCGAAGAGATAGAGAGATGCAGATGAGCAAAAGAAGAGAAGCGGGAGAAGATGCCACAAAGGACCTCAGCATACCCACCTGGCAGACTGAGCAGGAGTCTAGGCTCAGCTTCCTGGGCCCTGGGCTCTTGATTTCAGTTCCCTATCTGCTAGGGGCCTCAGAGAAGGACATCCCGTGGTGTCAGAAGAGGTCTCACCCCACCTGGCCAGCAACTACCCTCATATAGGGGTGCTCTGGTGAGGTTACCCTGAGGGCCCACTGGCCTGGGTCACAGCATTGCCTCCCAAGTTGATCCTGAGCTCTGGGGAGAGTCAAGTGGGAGGCCCCCTATGATGTGAGATGCCGAGGAGTGTTGGGGGGACTTCCATGGTAAGGAAGCTGTTAATAGCACACACTGGGGCGTTTTCCACCTGAGACCTCATACACAGGGCAGCAGGTCCTCAGTGAGACCTCTCCAGCATGCTGAGTACACATGCCCCCCGACAGCTGAGCATCCTAATGATCTCCCAGAGCCTCTGTTCTGGCCGGGGTCTGCAGACTCTCTGCCCCAGGACAGGCTCCTGAGAACTCTTGAACAGTCTAAAGACTAAGGCACAGAATTGCTAAAGCCCTGGAGTCAGGCATTGATAGAACCTGCTTTATAGGGGACAGGGACAGCTGTCAGGACAGATGGGTCGGCAGGGCAATTTGCCCTGTGTCTTGATGACCAGCACTGGGCTGGCACATCTGGCTGCCCAAGCTCGTAATGACACAGAAGAATCAGGAGGACATCGCCTCTCTGAATGCCTTTAGCACAGCTCCTGGAGCCAGTTACTGCCCTGTGCCTGGATAAGAGAAGCCCTGTGCCAGGTATGGTGGGACAGGACTGCCATCTCAGCACTCAAACTGTGGAAGTGGGATGATCCTGGAGTTCAAGGCTAGCCTCAACCACAAAGCAGATGTGAAGCCAACCTCTGCTTTGAGACCTTGTCTTAAAAACAAACAGACAGACAAACAAACAAAGCTAAGAAGGGTCAGGAGAGATGGCTCATTGGTTAAGAGCACTGGCTGGTCTAGCAGAGGACCTGGGTTCAGTTCCCAGCATCCACATGGTGGCTCACAACTGTCTGTAAAATGTTATAACAGATCTGACATCATCTTCTGGTCTTTGAGGACACCAGGCATATAGCTGATACAAATACCTACACGTAGACAAACAAATAAACAAACAAACAAAACCTCAAACCCAAAACCCATACACACAAAAGTAAATAAACACACACACACACACACACACACACACACACACACACACACAAAGAAGGAAGGAGAGAGTGGGGGTCCTGGGGAGACAGTGTGATGTTTTGCTTTGTTGGTGTCTAGGAGGAGCCAGAGGAATCCCACTGGACAGACAGCCTGGCCTCAGAGCCTCTCTCCTGATCCATGTCTGGACCCCCACATTTCCTGTTGGGTGTGTCCTTTACTCTGTCTTCTCCTGGACAGCCCAGTGCACTGTAGCTCCCCAAATGCATTCCTGAAGTGAATGAATGGGCTGCCCATACAATGTAGCCCTCTGAGACTTCGACTTCCTCGGTATATGAAATTCTAAGTCCAGGTGAGAAACTCAGTAGAGCGTCCCCTACTAAGATCCCTGCCACTGCCACCATCACTGACCAGATCGTGGCACCACCACAGGGACCTCAGGTGCCTTTGAGAGTAAAGGACTTCAGTGGCCCAGCAGGTGATCCAGCCCAGGCCCTCCCTCTGATCCTGGCTGACTTTGGCCTGTTCCTCAATTGTCCCTAAGGCATCCACACTCCTGACCCAGGGTCTTCCTCTGTGCCCTATACAAGTGTCCATGGGTCCTTCTACCCACCCTCCACCCTATAGTTGGAAGGAACTGCCTTCACCCCTACCTCAGACCCCACCCCAACTCATTCCCTGTGATGGAGGCCTTGGTGTAGGTAGGAATGTACCCCCTGCTCATATCCCTAGCCTGCTTCCTACAGCCTTCTCTTGTCCAGTGAGGGTTTCCTGCATCTCTAATCACCTGCCTTCTTGCCCTTGGATGTCTCCAGACCCTCCCCCTCAGGCTATGGATGGACCCACTGCTTGGCCTCAGATGCTGCCCCCCTCCCCACAGGGAGCCTGAGTGTGTGTTGTGCTGGACCAGAGCTGGGCCTCCATTGCCGTCTCCCTGGGCTGGGCTGGGCTGTCCTCATACAGAGCAGAGCCTAGCAGAGCATGCAGGGGGTGGGGGGCATAATATGGTAATGGACACCCTGTTAATTGCTTCCAAATGGCCAATTGCAGCCGTTTGACTAATTGGTCTCTTCCAGCTCCCCCTCTCCTGGCCTGGACACCCCCAGACCTGGCCCAAGCCTATTTAACACCGTTTCCAGGGCCTCTGTTCCGGAAGCTCCCTCCTTGGTCTCTCTTGGCCTGGACCTCCACCTCCAGCTCCTGCACCTAGAGAGAGAGCTAAGGAGAGGAGGGCCAGGGACAGTGTGCCCTGTGATCTCCTCGGCTTTTGGCCCCAAACTCACTCTGTACTCCACCATCAAAAGCAGGGGGAAAGAGACCCAGCCTGCTTGTTGGGTGCTGACCCGGAGTCACTGTACCCCTGAAATCCTAAAAGCAGCCCACCTTAGTCCTACCAAGTCAGAGGTGAGCCGACTGGCCCAGGAGCACACAGCGGGGAGATGGGAGTCATCTGTGTGCCTCAGCTGGAGGCATCTTCAACAGGCCAGGGCTGACTTAAGCATCCTTTGTTTGAGTCTGTGGACCTCTGCCTCTGGTTCTGCATGGGTGGTACCCTAAAGCCCAGGCTCTAGTTCAGTGGAGCCCTTCCTGCTTGCTGTGGGGGACTAGCCAGACACCCTCCACAGGTGCAGTGGGGCAAAGTGGGAGAAGAGGAAGGAATCTGGGCCACACAAGGGTGCAGATGGGCTTTTTCAGCCGGCCCAGGACCATGAATGGCAACAGTGTGTTTTCAGACTCTCCCTGATATGGACACACACAGCACAGAAAGGTCCTAAGTCCCATCCCTACCCAGAGCCCTGCCCACATGAGACAGGGTGGACTTCATAAATAGATAAAGGGACACAAGTTCCTAACAGCCAGAGCCTCACCCCAGGCTAATAGGAGTCCACAAACTGAGGTGGTTAAGTTGAGGTGGCTACCTAATGTCCCCCCCCCCCTTTTTTGGTTTTTCAAGACAGGGTTTCTTTGTATAGTTGTCCTGGAACTCAATTTGTAGACCAGGCTGGCCTTGAACTCACAGAGATCTGCCTGCCTCTGCCCTTGAGTGCTGGGATCAAAGGTGTGCACCACCACCACCCAGCTTAATGTGGGGCTCTTAACACCACATGAGAGAGTACCCTTCCCCAACATGCTTAAGAATCTTGGGGTGGGTTCTGCTCCAGATGTGGAAATGAGAGTTTGGGCAACAGGTAGTGGCAAATGGGGGCAAGAGACACCCAGGAGGTAGCTTACAGGGGCCTTCAATTTCCGTCAAACACATTTATTTTTCCTTGTAACTTGTTTGTATTGTTTCAATACTGAAATACTTCATTGAGATATTTAACTTAAAGTGGATACCTCAACTGCTAAAAATAATTATTTTTATTTCACGTGAGTGTGTTCCTGCATGTATGTCTGTGTATCACATGTGTGAAGTGCCCACGGAGGCCAGAGAAGGGTGTCAAATCTCCTGGAACTGGAGTTACAGACAGATGGTTGTGAGCCACCAGGTTGGTGCTGGGACTCAAACCCAGGTCCCCTGCAGGAGCAGCCAGTACTCTTAGCCACTGAGCCATTTCTCAAGCTCTGCCCCTCCCCCCACATACTTTTTTTGAGACAAGGTCTCATGTGGCTCAGGCTGGTCTCAAACTCACCACCTAGCCAAGGATGATTGTGAACTTCTGACCTCCTGATTGCAGCTGGGATTCAGGTGTGCATTACTGTATGCAAGGGTTTCTTTCCT